ATAGCAAAGACAAAAATACTATACTGTAGCTCACCTTAACAGTACTTTGTCAGAAGATCACAATTATGACTCTTACATAATGTTTAAACTGGCTTCCTTTAAAGCAATAAGGAATGGAAAACACAATAGTTACAGAGAAGGACTGAATTCTGTCGTCATAACTAATGAAAGTAGGACCCTGCAAAATAGGGCAACAGGACTGAAATATTCATCTGCTCATGGCTTGTACCAACCAATTAAGTTATTCATATTTAATCTTGTATTTTTAAATGAGATTCCTCTTTAGGCAGACAAAATCTTACATTAATCTATGCAAAATTTAATTAGATTAACATTCATAATTGGAAACTGGCTGGTAATTTCAACAGATGGGAAGGAAAAACAAAAGGACATTGCTACAGGAAGTGAGGGGCAGTGAAATTTCAAATATAGGAAGAGCTAGAAGAAGCCACCTGGCTGATTTTAAATAAGAATGGCCTTTTTTCAAAAATAGCAAGTTGTTAGAAAAAGACGATCCTTACCGTTTCAATTTGGCATCTATGTACGTGACCTGAACTGATAACAGCAACAGTAATTTTCTCCCCGGAGAACTATGCAGTAGTTTTTTTATAATAAATCCTACTATAGGAATTATTAGAAAAATAATTTTCTAACCATTTTTTCTAACAATTATTAGGAAAAAAAATGAGAGACAGAAATATAATACTACTACTGTAAAGCTATAATAATGTATGTTACTATGCCAGAGCAACCTAACAAATACTTGTGGTCAAAAACCATTGTGACAAGTTGGCAATAGCCAAAATGATGAACTGTATAATCAGCTCTGAAAACAGAAAACAATCATTAGAAAAGTTCATCATTTATATTAAGGTTGGACATGAAAAGAGAATATGTATTTTGTTTCAAACCCAGAACAAAAGCATTGTAATTCAGAGCTTCTGCCAAAATGTTCCAGGTGGGCTGCAGTTCACCAGAACTGTACCCCAAAATATTTTATTCTTGGTTTCAGCCAAAATCTGCAGGCAAAGAGGAAAAAGCTGATACACCTCACCCCTTTCTCTCATCCTCTCCATGGGTTGGGTGACAGCCCACCTGCTGATTTTCCTAACACCTCCTTTTCCCTTTCTCCCTTTAGCTACCAGTGTCCTTGGGTTCAAGCACAACATATCAAACCAGCCATCTGCCACCCATCTTCCTAGCAGTTTTTTTTCCCTTATTTCCACTTAGCCACTTTGTGCCACTGTTAATGTCCTTGGCATGTTTTCTTTCTCCCCCAAGTCCCCAAAACACATGTTTTTCAATCTGTGTACAGGCCAAATTTGTGAGTCGCAGTCTAGATATGGACTACCCAAAAGTAGTTGTTCTATGTATGAAACGGTTTGAGCAGGGAATTTTACACATCCCTAATTCAAGAAGCGCTTTGAAATGTGCTGGACTGGAAACAAAGCCCTTCTCTTTGAATCATTAAAGCAGCCATGTCCTTTGCATGGCTCACATGAGGCTGTTTTGGAAGCTGTTCCTGGCTGCTTCTGCATGACTGAGAAAGACATGGCTGCGCATGCATGTGCATAAAGACCCAGCCAGAAACAGATTTCAAACAAGTCATGCATGCAAAAGATGCAGTTGCTTTAACAATATGAAGAGAGGAACTTTGTTTTGCACACCCACATATTGTGAAGCACCTCTTTACACACTTCTATTATGTACAGATCACAAACCCAACTGAAACAGGGGGCATCTTTTGATGACAATTATTACCAGATTTGAAATCCCCCCAAATATTTACTACTGGAAAAAACATTTTTTATCAATATTATTGCCATTTTTAATATGATGAGAATCCTAAAGTGGGATGCAAAATAGTAAATAGAAAAACTATAGCAGAAAAAAAACCAAACTAGTAAAACTATAAAAAGATAGGAACTTCAAAGCACAATGACAACAAAAACGAGATATAGCAGCAAGTACATGTTCTCCATTCAGATTAGTTTTAAAAGCTAAAGACTTGACATAGCAGCTATCTCAGTTAACAGTTCTCAACCTTGATTCTATAATCTCAACTACTGGTGCTGCTGAGCGAGGATTACAAGAGACACTATTCAGCATCTGGGGACTTAAAGAGCAGAGCTTTATTAGATCAGTCAATGTTTAGCCATCAAACAAAAATTTTACTAAACCATAATAGCATTAATACATAACAACTCTATGTGCTGACAACTCTACAGTAAAATGTTTGTGCACTGTCTCTTGATTTAGAGAAAGATTCTTTTAAGATAACACATTGAATGTTAATTAATTGAATCTTCTATTCTTATCAGAGAAATTAAATGATTAAGACCAACAATTCATCGTGGTTTTTTAATTAGCTCTATAACTAAACCAAAGGCTTAATGTGAACAATAATCTGCATTGGAATCCATTTTTATTTATTATTTTTGCATAGATAGCCTGACTTACACTTTGTTTCTATTTGAAAACTGATAGCTACTGCCTGGCATTAGAACAATTAGACAGGTTTCTGAATAAAGCATTTAGATAAAAGCTTTGTACTGTTTTTCTTGGCAGTGATGATGGGGACAATTAAGGACACTAAGTGGCTTTTTGGAATGCTGACAAATAAGATAAAGAAGAGCCCAGACAGCTGAGGGAAGTGGCTCGTTTCTGATCTGAAGTTAATGCCAAATGACTACTCCAAATCATCTACCAGTTTTACTGTCCTTTGATTTATATAAGCCAATATTCTATAGTTCTGAGCACTCCTGATATGTCACAAGACTCTGAGCCCATGTGGCCATTACAAGTTACTATCTAACACATCTGGATAGCACCATATATTGTGTCCTACATTGTCCAAAGACCCCTCCAGAAGAGCTACATTTCAAAACATCATTTCTAGTGGTATCTTTTTCAGCAATAAAGATGAATCTCCAAGAGCATCACTTTTCCATCACTGAAAAACAGTACTTCTGGCTATGGTCCTCTAACCTCTCCAAATGGGGGACAACTAGCTCCTTCTTCTGGCATGAATGGAGTAGTCTGGCAAACTCTAGTGGGGGGGGAGGTGACTACCAGGCACTAAGCCGCACAACACTTGATATGTTAAGACCAGCACCTTAAGCCACACTCAGAAGCTAATAGGTAACCAATGCAGGGCCCACCAAACAAGTGTAATATGAGCCTAAAAATCCACCCCCATGAGTACCTGGACCACTGTATTCTGCATCAAATGAGACTTCCAGGTGGTCTTTAAAGACAGCCCCACATAGTGTGTGTTGCAGTATTTTAACTGGTTGGTGATGAGCGGGTAAGCCACTATAGTCAAACTTCTCGTCCCAAGTAAGACTACAACTGATGCATCAGCCAAAGCTGGGCAAAACCACCCTGGCCATGGCCTCTACTTGCTAATCCAGCAGGAGCCACAAGTTCAGGAAGACCCCCAAATTATGGATCTGCTCCTGCAATTTCATCTAGAGACAAAAGAGGCGGTATACAGGACCCCTAATGTATAAAAAGTAGTTCCATTTTGCTAGGGTTTAATTTAAACCTGTTTTCTCCCACCCAGACCAGCACAGCCTCCTGGCACTGAGACAGGATTTCAACAGCATCTCTGGCTCGGCTTGAAACCTTGATGTACAGTTGGGCATCATCAGCATGTACCAGACCCCAAACTTCCAAATGATCTGCCCCGGTGGCTTCATGTGGATGTCCAATTTTTGTACATTGGATTGGTGAATTTACTACAGGCTAATCAGGTGAACCAAAAAACATAAAACAATGCAGCAATGATTAAAAATTATTGGTGAAAAAGATGCCACAAGAAATGATGTTTTGAAATGTAGCATAATTAAACTGAACCACACTAAGAAAGCATTATTTCCATAAACTGCATTTTTTATGCATTCGTCAGTAGGATTCAGTAAAGGTAGGTTCACTAATAACATTAAACAAGCACTAAAGTTTAACATTTGCATGTTTGGACTCTAAAGTGAAGAATTAGTGCTAGAGAAGGAAGTAACCAAGTTAGCTCACTAAGCAACTTACATGGTGCTTATAAACCGTACTCTTCCAATTTGGAACCTTCAGTATATTCGACATTTGACAACAGCCATACCACAGAGTTAATATGTGCATTTTAATATAATTATCTGAAGATGACAATAATAATTAAGATTTACCATTCACAATCTCCACATAACAATTTCTAGAATGCTCAACGACTAGGAGAACAACACTCCAACCTAGGGAAAGCAGTTTATATATCCTTATTTAAGTAAAGAAATTACAAAAAACTAAACCATCGGAATCCTTGACGGGAGTGGGGAGACCCAGGCTCTGGTCCTCACTTAGGCACAGAAGCCAGCTGGGTGGTTTTGGGCCAGCTCTCATCCCTAGACTGGGAAGTCAAGAAACATCTATCCATCAACCCACAATGCACCACTGTGATAGATTAGCCCATAACCTTCAATGAGGCTTTCATCCTGCAGTGCATTGATTCATATAATACATACACATGCACACTCAGACATGCAAGTATTTTTAATGTTTCTGAATATTGTGTGTGTGTGTGTGCATGCACATGAAGCTGAATAACTTGGTTATGGAACACTACTCACACAATCCCACTTGATTTTCACAAATCTCTGAGTGAAACAGCCACCATGAACAAAGTAAACTTAAGGGGATAAATCCTATGACATCAAATTTGAGCATGGAACTAATAGAGAAAAAATGTTTATGGGACAAAATATGTGAAACACAAGAGGAGCAAAATTGAGTGCGCTTTCTCTCTATGTATTAAAACCGAAATGAAGAAATATGTTGCCGTTAAGAAGATGTAGCACAGATAGTTTCTTCTTAGAAATGACAAGCATGCATTCATTTCTAACATGGCAAAAAACAACACAATAAAATAAAGCCCCAACAAAAACAAAAAAGCAGTGGAGAACAGATGGTGTTCTATGGTACCCTCATGCAACATGGGTTTGTAAAGTACATACCCAGAAAGGTTCTCCTGGGAGCTGTTTTGATTTCTTCATCCTTACTATCTGCAGCTATATTAAAATATTGAAGAGAAAGCAAAGACAAAACAAAGTGGTTTGACTCCTCATAGTAGCAAGCTCTGAAATTGCTTTTAAATTAGCTCAGAGTTAATATATCTTGGTGGCTGTCATCATGCTAGAATGCTTTTTTTAAAAAATCAAAAAGACTATTTGCTGGATTCTGAAATTAGGCATCATGGATTCATATTGTTCTCCCCAAAATTAAGAAAAATAAAAGAAACATTTATTTAGATGTAACATAACACACAAGAACCATAGCTTAAGCAAATATTCAATGCATAGATCAGTATCAAACAGCTATATTATTGTATTTTACACCACATTACATTTTAACACTAAGAGGAATGTGAAAAAAATTAATTTAAGTTTTAGCTTAACTAAATGAAACCAGCATGAAAAAGCTCAACTCAGAATTTTGATAAATGATGCTTTACAATCCAGCCAATAATTCAAGAGTTAAATATGTACAACAAGCTTATGCACAATTTCTATCATTGAATTACAATATGAATAACAAAGAAATCCTTACATAAGTTATATTCATTTATCCAAAGAGGTACAAAGCTACAAACCAGCAATTACGTTCTTTGGACACATTACCTATTCTTTGCTAAAAACAGCAGCTAAATTCTGTTCAAAATAATTCTGCTCTAAATTTTGCAAATCAAGGAACTTTATATATGATGGATATTGAAACAAAATCAATAAATGCCTTCAGTTACCACATATATGTATCTCTAACACACGCACACACAGAGACAAATTCATTTTCCTTTTGAAGCAAACAGAATAAAAAGCTTGAATTCAAAACAAAAAGCCAACAGTGAAAACTATCAAAACAATGTCGATATTTCAGATCACTTGTTCATAGAACTCAATGTTTTAAATCATACAAGAACATGGGGAGAAAAAAATCTTGCATTACAAATTAGAAAACAACATTTCAGAAAAACCTCCAACGTATGCGGCCCACTAAGCTAATGATAAAGATATGAGTGAATTATCCTTCTTATGCAGAACAGGTATCATAGGCCAGAAATGTAGACTATATGAATTAAAGAGCATTGAGCTACATATTTGGTTTACTGTCATAAACCAGGAGACTCAAGAAAAAAATGAAGGGTCAATATTGACTGAAAAGCAAAGAGGAGAGTACATCTTAAAACAAGTCTTAAGGATCAAGGATGCTGGCTGGGGAATTTTGAGAGTTGAAGTCCGAACATCTTAAAGTTGCCAAGTTTGAAAAACACTGCCATATCTGAAGTAGAGAGGGGAAAATATGCATGCGTAGGACTGTAAATTAGATACATATTTTATGGGATCATGACATCAGCTTTTTCCTCTCTTTTTTGTTATTAACCAAGTTTTTTATTATCACAAAATAAAGAATGAACACATATAAAAGCTGAAGTATGAAAAAACTGTAGAATGTTTTTATACTGCAATAGACATATATATATACATGTAATAGTAACACCCTATCCCCATATTTTGTATTTGAATCAACATTATAACTTGATGAAAGCCATCTGAAGCTCTAATAGATAAGAATGCTGAACAGCTTGTCACATGATTAATCTATATGTCACAGAGCTTGATACCACCACTAGACATTCATGATAGATGGTAGGACTGATCCACAAAATGATGGAATCAGTTACAGCTTCTGGGCAGAACAATGAGTGCAAAGAGGCTATTTCAAGTGGATGCCACATGAGTTTAGAGCAATCAGAGTGACAGCAAGAAGCTTTTGAGCATACAGTACTAGCAATCTGGGAATGAATGGTGGGAAGATCTTCCCTCTACAACTTTGCAAAGGAGAGAAGCACTTCTGTAGTTCACCACTCCAATAAATAGTGTCACTGTGTGACAATTGTTTTGATCAGGATTTGGCACATTCAAATACATATACAAACATAAAAGTAAATATTTTTAAAATGAATCCCATTTCCTTAATTGGAATGCTCTTTAAGTGTTGGATTATCAAAACACAGTTTGGCACTGATATGCCAAAATATAATGGAGCCAAAGAAAAGAGGGGAGAAACAATATTATACAGAATCACTACACAATGATTTCAACTAACCTGAAAAGGAACGTCGTTTTATATTCAACTCATTTGCCACACGTACTTCAGTGCAAAGTTTCAGCATCAGTAACATTGTGACTATCATTATAATGCTTTGCAATAGTAAGGGTGACTCAAAATGTCTCCCAAACCTAAAAAAAGAAAAACAGACATCAAGTGGTTGAACAAGCAGAATCTTAATAGTTTGAAATATAAACTGCAAGTGCTAAAAAGAAAAAAAAACCACTTTCATAAAACAGAAAATAGACATAAATTAATTTACTGATATTCAACTTCTCCCAAGAGTCAGCCATCATCTTAATTCTAGGTAGGGAGCCCGCATATAAATCTGTAGGTAGGGAATCTTTTGACAAAGTCACATGGGATGCCAAATAACCTACACTGGATAATTATAGAAAAATGTAACATTATGGAAGCAGAGTAACCTTTTTTTTCCTGAGTTTCTTAACTTTACATAGTGGGGAGGACATTATAAAATAGTGGTGCTGGAGAGTCTTAATTTTAAATACAGAATTTTTGTCAATGAACCTAAGCCTATACATAGAAGTAAATTCAGTTTCTCCCAGTAAAACCACTAAAGGGAGATCCATTCTCCTCCTAAGCTTTTACAAATCATTAATAAAATCATACACATGTAACAACTTCACAAAACAGTTTCAAAACATCCTGAATTAATACGTGTTTACCATCATTTTTAAAAAAACTCAACCAAGTGAAAATATGTGCAGTATGGCAGGTGTGACAAACAGGACTTCCTTCAGCACCAATTCTAATGACCTGAACTTTATAGGTGATTAACAAGGCATGTCTTCAGACAATCCAAAAATGAAACTATAATTAGTAACTAAGAAATACAATTTAAAGGATATTGGAGACTAATAGCATACAAAGCAATAAAATATCACTTGGAGTTTACAGATAAAGATCTTAACTGTCTATGGGTCATTCCGCTGGGGAAGACAAAGTTAGTTCCAGGAAAGGCAGGGGTGAATTTAGCATCCTGGCTTACTGCCATAGCAAAATGAGAAAGTTTACAAAATGTAGCATTTTCACACACATACGTGCACATGTCCTAAAGACAAGAACTTTTTGCACCACTTCCCACAGGCATAGAGAATAGAATAAAGAGAACAGGCAGAGACAACAAGGCTTCTGGATGAAACAGGGAGAAAGGGGGAAAGAATCTACCTCCCTTTGCATCACTGAACATGTCAAGGGTTTGCTGGAAGCTGGTGCAGCTTCTTGGGATAAAAGGACAAAGAGCAAAAGGAGAGTTGTTCTCCTTGATAAAAACAAAAGGGAAAGAGAGAGAGAAAGCAAAGAAAAGGAGTTTTCTCAGTTGAGCAGAAACCTATTCTCTTCTGACATGCTGAATGGTTGAAAGCATTGGCAAGGGGGGATTTTAGCAAAATAAAAACAACAAAATAAGGATTTGGGAAATCATTAAGAAGGTGTCACCCAGAAAGGTTATTTTCCTTCTTGTTTCTTGGACTGATGAGAGAGGTGAAAAGAGGAGATTCTTTAGCATCATGATTTGTGATGAACAGGATATTTTCCATTACTATTCTAACAAAAGTCTTCACTGAAATTTCTGGGTTTAGCAACAGCAGCAAGACATAACCAATTTCCCCACTGGAATCACAGATTGTTCCAATGGCTCAAGATTTACTGTTTCTTTCACATGTAACATTTCAATTATAAGGGTTATGTTTGTGTATAAACATTTATCTAAGCTACTTTTCCCTTTAGGGAAAAAGCAGCAGGGTCATACCTGGTCTCTCCCCCTGTGTCTCTTGCTTTTGGACATTTGCAATTTCACAAGTATTAATCAGACAATGGGAAGCATGAAGAGAATTCAGGGGGAATGCTTACAGAAGCTCAAGTATATATGTTGGGACTGTTTTGCCTGAGTTTTAAGGGCTTCTCCAAGTGCCCATGATGGAATGGAATCTTTCCTTTCAACTACAGGCTATCTAGCTACCTTTACCCGACATATGAGAGAGCTTCCTGGTAATTCTCTTTGTTGTTGAGACATGGGTATTATGCAATAATATCCACCAGATAAAAGCTGTCCCAACTCCTCTTGTATTTGGGCCAAATATTACCCCAACAGCGTGAAATCCAACAGAGAAAAGCTAGCTGTAGCCAAGAAATATTTCCCACCAAAAAGAATCAGAAACTGTTTTTACTTGGGCTATGCTATGGTTGATGAGTATGATCAATTTCTAATACTGCTTCAATGTTTAATTCTTGAGTATCTCTTGCTGCAAGATGAGAAAGAGGACACTTTAAATGCAGACTGAGTACTGTATATAAATGGTATTCTCTGTTGACATGCTATGGAAGCAGAAGTTGGTCTTTGAAGAAGCAGGATAGAAAGACTACTGATGCTTTTGAATTTTGGTATTGGAAAGGACTCCTGAGAATACCATGAACAGCCAATAGAAATGGATCATCAAACAAATCAACCCAGTTTTCTCACTCAAGGCACGAATGACCAGGCTCAAATTATCATACTCTGGTCATGTTATGTGAAGACCTAGCTCTCTCAAGAAGGCTCTAATGCAGAGAAAGGTAAAATGAAAGAGAAGAAGAGGATGACCAGCAGCAAGTCAGATAGACTTAGTTACACTGGTGATGGGTGCACCATTGGAAGACCTGAAGGACCAGGTTAAGGACAGATCATCATGGAGAATATGTATGTGGTTGCTAAGAGTTTACACCAACTTGACGGCATATAATCAATCAATCAATGAGTATATAAAGTACTGAAAGGAAAGGAGGAAAGATTATCCTGCTACATATTATTAATATTAATATGAATTTATTAATGAAAAAAGTATAGGGTAAAGGGTCATATTATAGAGGATGGAAGGATATGCATGATATAGTTTAATGTCTGGTTGGTTAACAGCTTTTCCTCTGAGCATGAACAAAATATACAGTATTTCCAGAGAATGTGAATATTTGCTCGCTCATTTAACTGTCAAAAGGACTTGCCAGGCATATTTAATGCAAATATCCTTCTATTAAATCTCCCATTATCTTGCTAAAATTCAGCCATTAACCATATAGATGGAGAGACTGAGAAACATTAGCTTTTCCAACAGAAAAAATATCTGTAGCTCAGGGTTGAACTGGGGAGTCCCTGGTGCTCTCCAGGCTTGGTTGTTTGCTTGAAGATATTTCATTTCCCAACTAGGTAACATCATCAGTGCCCTGATCAGAGCACTGATGATGTTACCTAGTTGGGTAATGAAACGTTTGCAAGTAAACAACCAAGTTCAGAGAGCACCAAGGACCCACATTAGCTTTTGTTTGTTTGGACAGGTCATCCTTAGTCCTTTTTAATGTCATTTTCTTCAAGGCTTGACCAAACATTGAGCCAAACTGGGAGTGCATTTGAGGGAGAGGGAAGCAATACACCATACAACTCTTCTTCCCTAAATACCAGAGCTCGGTTTAAGCCACTATGCATCAGTCAAAAAGTAATGTTAATTTTGTCTACATTGAAAGATGAATGCATGGATTGACAGTATTCCTCAATCCATAAAATGAATACTATAAAGCCAACCTACAACAACAGCCGTCACAGGATGTTTCCCCCCTAAATTAAAGGTTTCAGAGAAGTAAGTAATCAAGAACAAATCACATTCAGCCCTCTGAATATTGCATGACCCATTCCAGAAACATATTGCTTTATGAAGCTTGAAAACATAAAGTTGAGTGGATGCAAATGATATCTTCATCCCATCTTACATTATTGGCCTTTCCCAATTTAGTACTTTCCAATTGTGTTTAGTACTCTAAGCAATTATCAAAATTCTGAGACAGCAGAATTGTTGGTCAAAACATCTGCAGAGCACCAACTTTAGGAAGGCTATCTTACATCATACATGAAATGGCAGTTTTTCTTGCTATGCCATAAGTATGTATATGAGTGATCCTACACAGAAATGATTAATTATTTTCATGCCCTATGGCTGAGCACCAATATAATTTAATTCAAAATCCACAGAAAAAAAACTAGCCAGGTCAATTCCACTGGAAAAAAGTATACCATAGAAACGGTGATACTGTACTATTTTCTTCTCCAAACTCCAATCAACTTCCCATAATTTCATATGTATGATTTATGTGTATTTGAGTGTGGGGGTAGATGGGTGTGTGTATATACGTGAGTGTGTATGGTGTATGTACATGTATGTGTGTGTGTGTGCATGAGAATGACTATTAGTGTTCCTTTCTTCAAGAGGAATTGGATAAAATACACCATTGATAAACAGTGCAACTTCTCTAAGCAAGTTGAAAGATTAGTCTGATATTGAAGATACTGATTCCATTGACTGGGAAAGGGATGGATGCTAAGAGACATGATAGCTGATCAAAAGGAAGTTACAGCAGATTGAAAAGTCAAATGCTGAAGAAGGAAGGAATTCTGGGTTAAGATACAAGGATAAAAAGCAAGGTGCAGAATAAAGAATAAATAAATAAACTAAAGATCAAGCGTGTCTGGCAAGAAGAACGTGGAAGGAAAAGAACTTTGAATACCATGGAGCATAAAAGAATACAAAGAGAATGCATTTCTCATTCTTTTAAGCAAAAATACACTGCTCTTTGGGTTCACAAATCATGCTACATCACCTATGATCTATTAGATAACCCACAATAACAGGGTTTACACAACACACTAAACCAAAGTCAAATAAGGTTATGGCTTAAAGTGATATGAAAATCCGATTTTTAACAACATATCTCTAATGACTATTATTGTGGACCAAGCAAAGAATACATTTAAGATGAAGTCTACTTAACAATACCTTAGAATCAGGTTAAAAAATTACCCCCTCTAAGAAATTAATTTGTTGGTGTCAATTTAGTTAGGTTTACTGAATAACTGGACTTGAACATCAAACATTGATAGAGTATAGCATCAGATTCTGATCATAAACCCAGAGTATGATTCATGATAAATCTTAGTTCCCTTAGCAGGAAGAGCAGTACACAAATCAAATAAAGAAGAAACAGTTGCTGTTCAAGTTTTTTCTAAATTGCACAGAAATCTCTGTAACCAGTAACAATTCTTGCTGGTAAGCAACGTAAGTCTACATTTGAAAATAAGGTTTTAAAA